ATGCATTTGTTTCTAACGCATTTATAAGATGATTTCTTTGTTGCTTTGTATGTCCCTCCCCCACAGTATAACCCCTGCTTTCACTGTATTTGATGTCGGTATAATTTGTGAAGGGGAAGGGGAAAAACAAGTCGTTTAAATAAGGATACAGGTGGACCCGTTGCAACAATGAGAAGTACAAGTTGTCATGTCGAAAACGAACTTTACAACTTTGGTGGGGGTGGGAGGATTGGGTGGGGGGGGGCGAGGGGAGGCTAGGAAGGGATGGGAAGGAGAAACAGAGGAGGAAGCTACAATGCTTGATAAGAAATGTACTCATTATCTTGCCCGTGTAATTGTAACCCATCTGTACAGTATTTTCACAATAAAAAAATTTTAAAAAAATAAAAAAATGATGTTTATTGAAATGACCTCTGAGAAATGCAAACAAGAAGTTTGTTATTGTACTGTTTGTGGTTCCTTTTCTTTTCTTTCCTTTTTAATTCCCTTTTGTCACATGTTTTTTTTTTTTTCTGTACCCTTTCTCTTGTATGTAAGTCTATCTGATTTGGGGACCGAAAGGGAAGCACAGAAATGATAGAACAAGAAGTGAACTGATTCAGCAGTGATATTGTCTGGACACTATAGTGGAAATAAACTATAGAACCCGGATGGGGGAGATGGGAGGGGAAACCCGGGAGATAACAAGGGCCTGAACGAGACTGTCAAAAAAGACATGTACTCATTACCTGACTTACGTAGCTGTAACCCCTCTGTATATCACCTTTGCAATAAAAATTTTAAAGGAACACATGTACCTAAACTGCTAACTAAATAAACAAAAAGCAAGGCAAAGAGAACCTAAATGTCTAGCTCAAGACCATCTAGGTGACAAATGACCTTCTGGCCCAGAACTAATGGTGTTTTCTCCCTTCCCTTCTAAATTTACACAATCCTTATTGCCAGCACCCCTCACCATCCAGACATAGCACAACCTTCTCTGCTTGTCTTCAGTGTTATTCTCTCTGTTTCTGTCTATTCCTTTTCTTAGTTACATCTTCTATGTTTCAGTTGCTGCACAAAGGGGTTACAATTCAGTATGTCAGTTTGTGAGCACATTGCATCTTGATCACAACCACCCCTTTCATCATTCTCAGATTTATGTTCCTTCTTATAAAGATAGCTCCATAGAGTGAGACCCACCCTAATGCTGCAGTCACTATAACTTGAGTACCACAAAGGTCCTCTCTTCATCCCACAAAAGGGAGAGATGGAGGCAGAATGCACAGTTGTTTTCCATTATAAACATTTCTATATTATTTGATTTCCAAGGCCTTGTGTAAATTATATACATATATGAATGTAAATAGCTATATAAATAGATGAGGTTGTCTGTTACTAGACTGTCTTCTACCTAGGATAAAACCTTGCATGAATTCAGATGACAGAATTTGGCAAAGATTATCATAGCCCTTTTTATTCTCAACATACCAAAGGACTTCCTAAAACTCTCCACTTTTCAATATTAAGTCACGAATCATTTCCTGAGTGGTCCTGGAATCCACAGTGTTCGCAGTGGTGCTAGATACCAGGCTAGGCCCACAGATGCAAGGATGACTAAAGCACAGTTCCTATCTTCAAGCAATTAAAACTCCAACGGGCAGTAATTACATCAGGATACTGTTGACTGAGCATGACAGAATTCCCCAGCTGGAGTGCATGGGAAGATGAGGAGCTAACATTCAGGGTTAGGCTCTACTTTCCATGACAGCAAATCCAAAATTATACAGGATAAACAAGATAGAGGTTTATGACCTCCTCATATAAAATGGTCCAGAGGGAGGCAGCTCAGGATGAACCTGATTCTGTATCAGGAGGCATAGACCAGCCTGGACACCAAGCCTCTGTTACGTGACTTGGGACATTCTATGTTGTATTCAACCCGCAGACTTTCCAGTATCTTCAGCCAAGATGACTGTGGACTATTTCTAATCAGCAGGAAAGAGAAACCGAGGAAGAAGAGCTGGCATCTTCCCTGATTATTCTCTTAGGCCAGGATTTAGCAACATGACCACAGCTCACCCTCTAGGGATCTTTCCTTTGGATATCTTTGAATTAACTAAGTCTACATTTCCCCAAGAAGGATCTGACAAATAAGTAAGTACCAGTAGACAAGGCCTGTCATCACCATGAGGCCAATTACAGCTTTCCATGGGACCAGGGAATCGAGGAAGTGAATCCTGAGGGATGAACAGACCCGAAGAAGATCAAGGAGAGTGACTGGGAGGCAGAGACACCGCAATGTGTCTTTGTCCCAGTGGTGACTCATCCCAAAGACATAAAGCTGGGCAAGGAAACCTTCAGCTCCTCTGGTTAATGTGAGCAATTCTCTTTCCTGAATAAAAATGTGGAGTTTCGTATTTAACAAGAAGGCCAGGCACTGTATGTAAAGTCGCTGGGGTCTTAATGTTGTTGCAATTACAGTTCATCAAATTCACAGCCATCTCTGACAGCTCAGGGTGCTTCGTGGTCGATGTAACAAAATGAAAAATCAATTGTGCTGCGTGTGCATTATTCATATATTTGGTTTCCAATTATTTAATGACAACACCTCTAGCTGCATTCTCCAGGAAGAATGTGCCAAATTACAAAATCCTACAGTCAACTTCTTATATCAGGAATCTTTAAAAGATTCAAAAATACAACAGTGGCATATTTAAGATAATATGTTAAATTATGAAATGTACTCTCAGAAATACTAGGGAATTCCTGCCAGACCAGTGTACACATACACCAGGACATCATTTCTATGTTAGCCAAATATCACAATGCACATTTCCTCATTTATTCCAGAAAATTGCCTTACTTATGTTAGGACAGCGTTTGAAATTTGGTCACAGTGTGCTACTTATGTCTCAAGTATTTTATTATCAAGATTCATAAATTAAACCGCATTTAGATTTGAAAACAAAAAGGATACCTCAGAAGTCCTCCAGCTTTGCATATGCCCTCAAGAGATTAATAGTAAATGCATCAGATCTGAACAAGTAAAGAAGATGAATGGGCCCCAGTAACTCATCAGGGGCTTGGAGGCTTCATGTGGATAATTCCTCAGCTCTAATGCTTTGAACTTTGGTTAACGATTATTACAGACGAAAGAGAATGTGGCTTACCATGTTCCCCAAAGACCTGCACATTAAATTCCAAAGGCAGCAGGTAGAAATCTGAAACAGGGCGAGATTGACCTCCACCTCCTTCCTTTTCTGCGTTCAAGGCACATTTCAATCCACTGTCGTTTTTATAACTGAATCTCCTAAACGCCGCCTTCCCTCCCTCCGCCCCCGTCCTGGACTTTTCTGCTTTCATCGTTGGCCATCTTGCATCATCCAAATCACAATTCCTTTTTGTTGTTGTTTTTAAATGTCTCAAACACAGATTTCATCTGCTAAGCTAAATAAAAATAGATCATTCTGATATCTATAATATATCTATTTAAATCAGTACTATACAAGGTGTCTACTGTATTTTCCTACTCGTTATCGGTAGTGTTCTTCCCATCTACACATTCAAGAAAAAAAAAAATCCCTGTCTTAGGCCAGGCATGGTAGTACATGCTTACAATCTCAGGTACTTATGAGGCAAAGGTAGGAGGGTAGTTCGAGGCTGGTCCAGGCAAAGGCATGAGACCTTATCTAAAAACAAATTACAGGATAAAGGGCTGATGGTATAGCTCAAGTAGTAGGACACCTGGTTAAAGAGAGTAAAAACTGGAGTTCAGACTCCAATACCAAATACAGTCCTCTCCTCTCTCATGGATCACAGGTCGGGTGGGAGAGGGATAAAACAGGAAACAAAAAGTGTGTCCACAGGACTAAGCACTAAAGAGAAAGAACAAAACCATGGAGACAGGAAAGGGCACTCCTGAATGATTCATTTTAAACTCCTAGTTACTGTATCTGGTGCTGAAGTCTTACTACCAAAAACAAAAAACAAAAACAAACAAACAACAAAACAAATCACAAGCCTGAATTTAATTTGTTCATCAGACTTAGAGGAACCATCTAGTAGGTGGGACTTCCTCCTTTTCCTCCAATCACCAATCTTCTCCCTGTAAATTGCCCCCCCCCCATACTCAAATGTTAAATGTATCTATCCTGCATCCAAGACCTTACTAGTGACAACAAGATCCAGTCCCTCAATCAAGGAACATGAGTGCTTGGAGCAGAGTCTACTATTGAAACAACATTTCTAGCTGATGGCTCACAACTGTAATCTTAGTTACTCAGAATGCAGAGATCTAAGCCAGCCACAAAAGTCAAATCCCTGAGACACTTATCTCTTATTAGTCAGCAAAAGGTTGGAAGTAGAGGTGTGGCTCAAGAGCTAGAGCACCAACACAATGCTCTAGTCCTATGGACACACTTGTTGTTTCCTGTTTAGAAAAAAAAACTAAAGGTGAACATTAGGCACTGAGTTCAAATGTCAGTATGAAAGGAAGGGAAGGGAAGGGAAGAGAAGAAAAGAAAAGGAAAGGATAGAGGGAGGGAGGGAGGGACGGAGGGAGGGAGGGAGGGAGACGGAAGGAAGGAAGGAAGGAAGGAAGGAAGGAAGGAAGGAAGGAAGGAAGGAAGGAGAGAAGGAAGGAGAGAAGGAGGAGAAAAAGAAAAAGAGGGGGAGGGACAATTTGGAGAAGAGAGAAAGGAAAGGAGGAAGGGAGGGAAGGTGGGAGGGAGGAAAAGGGACATAAGAGAAGAAGGAAGGGAGGAGGGAAAATTTCTATTACAACAGGAAGAAGTCTCACTTACAGAAGAAAAACACCATCAAGTTGAAAACTACAAAAACAGCTTTACATCAGTCAATTGTTTAAAACAAATAGCAAGTGGATGTTTCTAGGGAGATTTTGTTGATGAAAAAGCATTATGAAGACCTTGGTAAATAACTCAGACAATTTTTCAGATGAAATGAGTTCAAACCACCTTTGGAAAACCAATTTGTTGAGTGCTATAACAGTGAAGTCTTACCTTGTGGTAACACCTAAAGTATGCAGCCCGTTCATCAGAAAATTTCTCCAGTCTTTTTGGACCCTTGCTTGACGCTTTCTTGAATACTAACCAGCATCGCTGATATATCTGGAAGAAAATGCAAAGACAGGTCAGCACCTCCACTGGCTGAATGGTGACTAACAGTCGTCATATTTAAATCCTTACTTTTTGTTGTTTTCATCAGTACATGAGTCACAAGCCAGAAATACGATGTCGCTTCAGAAAAGAAAACAAAGTTTTAAAAATGTTCCCTCAATGGGCAAACTATATGGTCTAGACAGCTACTGGGGGGAAGGAGTAAAGTCACAATATTCAGTGAATATCCTACAGAATTAAGGAAACTGAGGGGAGGGTTTGGGTTTAGGAGGGAAGGGGCAACATCAATCAAGACGCACTGTACTCAAAACTGATTTGTTAAACTGTAACTCCTTTGTACAACTACTTAGAGATAATAAAAAATATAACTATAAGAAATAAAGATAATAAATGAATAAATGAAGGAAAGTCTCCATGACTATTCTGAACTGAGGACACTTAGTGTTTGTTCACACAATATGCCTTTGAATACGATTACAGCTATGTTATAAAAAAGTAATAAATTATTAGTTAATAAATTTAAATTATTAAATAATAAATTATTCATAGTCCTCTAAACACATTATAGTCAAATGCCTTCCTGTCTTGATAGCAGTTATCACTAGGTACATTTCAGGAAAAAACAAATCTTGGAGAGAAAAGTCCCAAATCAGTACAAATGACATAAATATTCCTGACACATGCTCAGGATTCAAATATAGCTAAATCTGAACATAACAGGCTCAAGGATACACTGAAGATCACACTGCCCACTTCCTAGAATGAGCCAGACCCTGTGTATCACATGACACTCCTAAATGATGCTGAAGTAGCCAAGAGATCAACAGAACCCAGAGACTTGCTTAGGAAATTCAACCCAGAGACTCCAGAATTACTGTCAGAAGGAGGGGCAAGGTTGGGAGGTTACAAACCAAAGCTGACTGCATCATGGGTATGCAGTAGGGCACCAGATTGTTTCCACTCCAAGAAAAGAAGACCTTTCATTTCTTTCTTCTGTTGCAATCCCTAATTCTGAGATCCAGCTCTTCCTCCACATGCCTTGAGGAAGCTACACAGCAACCAGAACCACTTGCTGCCAAAGCACACCGCCTGCTCCAGAAGGCACCATTCCAGGCACAACTGTCTCAGACAGGACTTGCACAGGACTTTCTGCCATCACAGGCCTCTGTGGACTCTAATAGCCATTTCCTTTCAGGTCAGAGTGGGAGCCTCTTCCCCTGGGACTCTGCAGAAAGCCTGTGATTGACTGGTATTAACACCCATGCCGCCCTCTTCCCCTCAGGCGATACAAGCAGACTATTCCACAGTCTGGAGACAACAAGCTGGATCACATGCAGGTATTGCAACGTGAAGCCCTTTCAAAGGTTTCTCCTAAGTTGTCTTTTCTGGCCTTTGGTCTTTATCATTTGATCTTTTTCATTATCAGAGCATGAAGATGAAATAGCCAAGAGGAATCAGGGTGGAAACAGCAACAGCAACAAGAGGGAGAGAGCAGCTGGGAGCAGAAGCAGCAGAGATGACGATGACAACGGGCAGCAGAAACATGTGGAAGCTGAGGGAGGGTATCTATGAGATTCCATTGCTGAAAGAGTTCCTGGGATCTTCCCAGTGACCCCCCACTGGGGGTCAGGAGTGATGACCCCAGCCGAGGCTCTAGAGCTGTGATACCAGCCATGAGTCTGGACAGCTAAAGCCTGGAAGCCGAAACCCTAGCTGATTCTGGTGGTTCCAGTTGATTCAAAGTGGAGCATTACATAGCTTCTGAGGGCTGGACACTAAGCCTCAGACCTGAGTACCTAAGGCTGTAAGTCTCTGGCTTCTAGACCCTGGAGTCATAAGCTTCTCATTCTCAGGCCTTGGAGCTGGAAGCCTCAGAAGGTGCCAACCCAGGTCTTAAGTGGTTAGACTCAAAGACCCAACATTACAGGACCTGTTCCTCACCTACTCAGGATTGCTATCGGAGTAGAGTCAAATCAGCTGATGGGTAATAGTTAGGGATGGGGAGGGTAAGGGTGAAGGGAGCAGGGTATCACTTTAAAGGGTTCTTTTGGTGGTGAATCATTGCATATTAACTGTATACATGTCAGTATCTTGTTTATGACATTGTCCTATGTTTTTGGAAGATTTTTACTACCAGAGAAACAAGGAAATGGGGGCAGGAAACTTACATAATCATTCTTACAACTGAATATAAATCTACAATTCTCTCAAAAATAAAATGTCTAATTATTACCAGTGAAAGGAGGTACAGGTGCTTAATCAAGATCTTCAGATCACTACCCAATCTAATAACTGTTATCTACATCCTTCTATAGTCCTTTAGTTCTCTTTTATCCCCATCAGATCATAGTCTAATTACCCATCTGATTAACTAACTTTAGGAAAGCAAGTCGTTCAAGCGCCATTGAGAAGAATTCGAGCACAAAATCCTCTTCATGAATTCATCCATGAAAATTAGCATTCTCAGTGTTACGGCTGGAAAAGAGTCTTATCAACAGCCCGCTTGTGTCTGAAGAACAGATGAGTTCACTGGCTCCCTGAAACCTGTCCTAGCACCCGAGGACTGTAATTACAGTGGAATGACTGACAGTCAGAAAGGGTATGGGAGTGAGGCTTCGCTATCAGGTTATTATTGGCTTTTGTAAAAGCCTCCGAGAATGTGCTCAGAAACTAAATGTTCTGCAGGTGTGCAAAATATAATAGGTCCACTACAAAAAGAAGATATTGTCGCTAAGAAAAATACTTTAAATTTCTAATTATGCCTCAATTTTCAGATCCACATTTTAGTGAGAGCTTTTCTCATTTTTCCTTCTAATCTGTTCATTTTCTTCTCTGTTGAACCAGGACTTGCCTGGCTTATTTCCAAAGACTGCGGAAAGCAAACGAACGATTCCTCAATTTCAGTGTGTCTCAGGATTTCCGTTTGGGCCCATGGCTATTAAGTTTGGGAAAATCCGGTTTGTTGCTCTTTTCACTGAGCAGTAAGGACGACAGTACAACATTCAAGTCAAATAAAGGCAAAAATACTACCAAAGAAATTCACATGTGTGCATTCTTGCTGCGATGTCACTGAAATAAATTAAAACCTGTTGGCTCATGAGGAGATAAGGAAGGTTCAAAGTGGACTGATGGAAGGATGGTTCCGGATGTCAACTTGGAATATACACACGGGAGCCACATGGACAGGACAGAAGCGGAGAATGGTTTGTGCAATCAAGATCCTTCTTTCATTCTGTCATCCCTAATATACATCAGTGACTCTCAGAGTGTGGTCCAGACTCACTTGAGTTACTTGCACACGACTGGAGATTATACTAGGTCTACAGAATCAATGTCTCATGGGAAGGCCACACAAACTTGCTCTTTAGCTTGCTCCTAGGGTATCTGTAAATATTCATGGAGCCCTTGCAAGCTGTGCCGTACCTCCCACTTGAGACTGCCCATAAACATTTCAAAGGTTTCACCATGGAGCCTTCTGACAGAGGGGGTCCCAGCAGGGGAATTTGGTGGCAGTTGAGCCAGAGCAGCATCCAATGTCATCTTGAGACAGAGACCACACACTAAAGGACAAATAAAATTTGTTGGGATGCCATAAATGCCCAGTATCCCATTGCTGGACCGCTTGGTCCTATGAACACAGAAAAGGCCTTCTAACTTTTGTATCCCAAACAGCTCAGTAGAATTAGAAGAAGCCACCCAGAGGACTCACTCAGGACCCATGCCAGCATGGAGACTCATTGGATTAACACCAGCATTGTTTCAAAGAGTGACAATTTGAAAACAATCCCTTTCAATTAATAGTTTCCACTGACAGGCAGACTTTTACATATATCCATTCAAGGGTGCCCACATTTCTTTGCTGTATTCACATCAACTTTCTCTCAAATATCCTTCTGGACAATGCATGCAGAGTTACAAAGATCACATAACTGAAAACAAGTGTCGCTACAAAATTCTTGCCAAAATGAAATAATATGCTTGGAAGTAAGACAAAAGTTGGTGGACAGTTGATGGTTTTCAATTTTTAGCACATCAACAAATACCTCTCATGAAAGGTTAGGAAGTAAATATGCTTACCTTTGAGGGGCATGAAGGCAGCCACAGAAGATATGCAAATGAATGTGCATGGCTATCTTCCAATAAAACTTCATTTGCAAAATTAAGCAAATGCCTTTTTAATACAAGGATTTTTTTGGTTGTTGTTTTTGTTGTTCGGTCTGGGCCAGACTTGTTCTTGGTTTAGGAATGTCTGATCTATAATAGAACTTCCTATTACTTAACTCTGGTCCCCTTCAATAAACATAAAAACCTGTCAGATGCTGGTGGCTCACACCTGTAATCCTAGCCACTCAGGAGGCTGAGATCTGAAGATCATGGTTTGAAGCCAGCCCAGGCAGGAAAGTCCATGAGATTTTTATCTCCAATTAACCACCATAAAACAAGAAGTGGCACTGTGGCTCAAAGTGGTAGAGCACCAGCCTTGAATTAAAAAAACAAAAAAACAACAAAAAAAATGTCCAGGTGCCGAGTTCAAGCCCCACAACCAACAAAAAATAAACATAAAAACCTGTGTGGCAAGTCCCTCCTAGGAGAAACCGAGGGGTGAGCGTGTCTCATGGCCATTGTATATGGTCTCATCTCCTCCCACGCTGAGATTTTCCCTGTTTAATTATATGAAAGTGTTGGAGACCTTTCAATCCATTCCACCAAATTTCTAGTCCCCTCAGCTGGCAAAGTGGCTGCCACGGTTCCTCAGGCAATACACCACCACCCAGTATTCCAGAGACCTGAGCATCCCATCTCCTACCTTGAGATAGAGTTACTTCTTATTCGTGATCATATTGTAGGAAGTTAACATGCGCATTAAGTTAACGTGCGCATGGGGGTAAAAAGATACATTGAAAATGCTTTCCTCTTTACCAGCATTCCTGTCCCCTCTAGAGCACTGACCTCAAACCGGAAAGAGAACTTCAGCCATGCGGTGTAGAATT